CTCCATTAAGTTAGAATCTTTAGTACAGTGTTGAGCAGAATTTTCTGCCTTATGGAAGAAAACATTCAGTCATTCCATCATTAAATGTGATTTTAGTTGTTGGTATTTTGTAAGTGCCTTTATCAGATTAAGGATGTTTTATCTATTCCTTTTTTGTTAAAGAGTTTTTACCATGAATGGTATTGAATTTGTCAAATGCATTTTCTGCCTCTGTTGAGATGATCGTGTGTTTTTCTTCTGCTAATATGATATATTACCTTAATTGATTTTGGAATGTTAAACCAACTTTGTTTTCCTTGGGTAAATCCCACTTGGTCATGGTGGCCAATCCTTTTTATTTCTTACTTAACTTCTTTTTATGTCTTTGGCATGGTTCAGTATTAAGGTAGTAGTGGTCTCCTAGAATGAGTCAGGGAATGTTACCTCTTCCCCTGTTTCTGAAATAGTTTGTTGAAGACTGATATAATTTATTCTTTTAAATATTTGATAGCATTTACCAGGGAAGTCATTTGGGCCCGAGTTTTTCTTTGTGAGATTTTTAATTACTAATTCAGTTTCTTATATGTGTCTATTCAGATTTTGTGTGTTCTGTAGTAAGCTTTGGTCATTTGTACTTTTCAAGGAGTTTTTCCTTATTATCTAAGTTGTTGAACGTATTGGTGTAAAGTTTCTAATGTTGCCTTATGCCATTTTATTTATTTAAAGTAAGCTCTACAGCCAACATGGGGCTTGAACTCCCGACCCCAAGATCAAGAGCTACATGCTCCACTGACTAAGCCAACCAGATGCCCCTCTTAGACCATTTTAATGTATGTAGGATCTATAATGATGTCACCTTTCTCATTTCCTGATACTAGTAAATATTATTTTTTTCCTTACCAGTTTAGCTAGAGGTTATCAATTACGTTAAGCTTCTCAAAGAACTAGCTCTTGGTTTAATTCGTTTTCTCTATTGTTTTCTTTTGATACTTATTATTTTCTACCTTCCTCTTCCTTTGCATTTAATTTGTTCATCTCTTTGTAGTTTATCAAAGTATAAGCTTAGGTCACTGATTTCCCAAGAGAATTTCCTTCTTTTCAAATATAGATATTTAGTACTATAAATAATTCCTCTAAGTATTACTTTAGTGGGATCCTACAAATTTGAATATGTTATGCTTTCATTTTTATTTAATTCAAAATACTTTTCCAGTCTTCCCTTTGGAATCTTTTTTGAGCCATTTGTTATTTAGCAATACCTTATATAGTTTCCAAATATTTGAGGATTTTCCAAGTATCTTTCTGTTTTGGATTTCTAATTTAATTCTGTTCTGGTCAAAGAACATACGTTATATTTTATATGACTTGAATCCTTTTGAATCTATTGAATCTTATTTTATGGCCCAGAATATGGTCTTAATGGTTATTCTGTTTGCACTTGAGAAAAACATGTATTTTGCTGTTTTGGGTGTAGTGTTCTAAAAATGTTAATTAGGTAAAGTTGTGGTTAGTGTTGTTCAAGTCTATTATATTCTTGCTGATTTTCTGCTTGGTTGTTCTATTAGTTATTGAAATGGAGTATTGAAATCTCTAATTGTAATTATTGATTTATCCCATTACTCTTTGTAGGTCTTTGAGTTTTGGCTTCATGTATTTTGAAGCTTTGTCATTAAGTTCATAAATATTTAGTATTGTTCTCTGGATTGAAGGACTCCTTTATCCTGATGCAATGATCATCTTCATGTTAAGTACTGTTCTCTGCTCTGAACTCTACTCTGTTATCAATATATTTAGTCAGGTTTTCTTTCAACTAGTGTTAGCTTGATATATCTTTTTCTATCTTTATTTTCATTTTTTAAAATTTTTTATTTTAAAATTTCTTTTTATTTTTAATCTCTTTGTTTCTTCATACTTAAATTGTTTAGATAGGCAGTATATAATTGAATTTTCGTTTTCAAATCTTAAATGACAATCTCTGCACTTAAATATTAGTGTGTTAGACCATTTCCATGTATTGTGATTATTGCTATGATTAAGTTTAAGTTTGTCATCTTTGTTGTTTCCTCTTTGTCCCATGTTTCTTATTCCTGTCTTCCTCTCTTTCTGCCTTCTTTTTCATTAATCAGGTTTTTAAAAAAAATTCCATTTATGTCTTTTCTTCAGTCCTAATCTATAACTCTTTGTATTTTTGTTTTGTGTTGTTTTGTTTTTGCTTTAATGATTGCATTAGTGTAAACAACTTACCACAGTCTACATTTAAGGGATATTATACCGTTTCATATATAGTATAAGAACCTTACTGTAGGGTACTTACATTTCTACTCCCTAGTCATAGGATTGTGCTGCCTTTATCACAGTTTTATTTTAGGACATTTTTGTCCCCCTAGGAGAAACCCCATACCCTTTAGCAATTGTTTTGAACAGTTGCTATTCACTCTTACAGGGACGGCATCTCCTACCCTAAATACTACAAAATGGCTGAACATACAACCCCCAACACTGGACAGATGAGATAGACAGCAATTTGTTAGTCATATATATTCATAGCTCAAGGGAGGGGAAAACCTTACAACATACAGGGCCATGTAGGAGTTCTACTTGGGGGCACAGTGAATAAGCATGAGCTGTGGGAGGCAGGCTTTATAGTAACATGAGGATGAGGTGACCTCTGGTTTCCACCAGAAGATGTGATTGCTTATTTGAATAATTTCACAGGCTGGCAGGGAAGTAAAATTCATTAAGAACCAGGTAGAATACAGCTGGTATAGCTAGATGGAGAACTTTTCTCTTCTTTTTTAAGATTTTGTTTTTAAGTGATCTCTACACCCAGTGTGGGGCTCAAACTCAAACCCCAAGATTAAGAGTCACATGCTCTACTGACTGAGCCAGCCAGGTGCCTGGGGATCTTTTCCATGGATGGGAGTGAGGGGGTGGGGGGACCGTATCTGGTAAGAGCAGGAGAGTGCATTTGGGGCCCTTTGAGGCCCAAAGTGTCAAGACAGCACTTAATATTGAATCTTAATTTCATGGCTTACACCACAGCAATCAGTCTGCATTCTGCCCTGATTCCTCCTCCAGCCTCTGGCAGCCACAAATCTACTTCTGGTCTTTATGGATTTGCCTGTCCTGGACATCTCATGTAAATGGACTCATAGATCGTATTTTGTATCTGGCCTTTTCCCTTTAACGTCATGTTTTCAAGGGTGATCCATGTTGTAGCATGTGTCAGTACTAAACACCTTTTTATTGCTGGTTAGTATTCCCTTCTATGGTTATACAACATTTTATTTCTCCATTCCTAGTTGATGGGCATTTGAGTTGCTTCCACTTTTTGGCTATAACGTATAATGCTGCTGTGAACATTTGTGTACACATTTTTTGGTGGACCTATGTTTTTGTTTTCCTTTGGTATATGCCTAACTTTTTCTTTGTTTTTTAAATAGGGTTTTGGTTTTATAAAATTTGGGTTGATATTTTCTTCTTTCAGTGATTTCAAGATGTTCCCCTTCTACCCTCCAGCATGTATTACTCCTGATGAGAAATCTGCTGTCATCTTTATATTTATTCCTTTGAACATATAATGTCTTAGTCTGCTTTCAAGATTTTCTTTTTATCATTGGTTTTAAGCAGTTTGATTATGATGTGCTTAGGTGAGTTTCCTTCATATTGCTTGTGTTTAGTGTTTTTTAAAGTTTCTGTGATATGTGGGTTTATTTGTTTTGCCAACTTTAGGAAAACTTCAGCCATTATTTCCTTAAAAATTTATTTGGTCCCATTCCCAATTTGGGATTCAAGTTACTCACACAGTACACTGCTTGAAGTTGTCCCACAGCTAATTGATATTCTTTTCATTTTGGGGGGATTCTTTTTTCTTCTGTGTGTTTTATTTTGTATAATTTCTATTGCTGTGCTTTCAAATTCAGTACCTTTTCTAATGTCAAATCTGCTGTCAATCCTAGTCAATATATTTTTCATCTCCATGCTCTCAAGAAGTTTGATTTGGGTCTCTTATTATATTTTCTATGTCTCTGCTTAACTTTGTGAACATACGGAATGCAGAATGTCTTTCTCTGCTAATTCTGATGTTACTTTCTATTGATTGATTATTCTCTTAAATATGAGATATCTTTTTTCTGCCTCTTTGCATTCTGGTAATTTTTCAGTATACACTGAAAAATATTTTCTGATTTTGTGAAATTTACTTTGTTGGATGCTAGATAATTTTATAGTCCTCTAAATCTTCTTGAGCTTTGTTTTAGGATGCAGTTACTACTTGGAAACAGTTTGGTCCTTTCAGGTCTTCCTTTTATGATGTGTTAGGTGGGCCTGTTGCCATTATTCTCCACTACTGAGGCAAGATCTTTCTGAATATTCAGTGCCTTGTGAATTATATGTTTTTACAGTGTGGGAACAGGCACTGTGGCCCACTGTGAGTGCCACTAGTTCTTTTCCCAGCCAAAGGGAGAGAGGAAGTCCTGTTGGATGATTCATTCCCCAGCCTAAGGGAGTTTCCTCACATGTATTCTCTGTTGCTCTGCTGAATACTTTCTGGGGACCCTCTGCAGATCATCAGGATTCTTTCCTTGAAGTGCTGCTCTCTCCCTTCTGGTGTTTTATCTCCCTTAGTCTTTCTAGATTCTCAGTTAAAGGACTCCTCCGTGTTCTGCCTCATTTCACCTTTTCGGCACCACTGTGTGGAAATTCTCTCAAGGCTGTCATAGGGCTTACCTTTTTTGTTTCCTGAATCTGTTATCTGATGTCTAAATATCTTGAAAATAATTTTTTTTTTTTTTACTCCTTAGGTTATTTTAGGGCGGAGGGGATGGATGCTAAATCTTGTCCCTTTTGCACCATTTTTGGCTGGAAAAGAAGTCTGCCCAAAAGGTTTTGGACAGATAACTAAACCAGTTGGGATGCAACCTCTTACATGGATTTTTTTTTTCCCCCAACAGGTATTTTTGTTAGTATTTAAATTCATGATAAATTTCTTGGTCTAAGTTAGTCTTCTTTCACCCTTACAGCTTGCCTCTGAATATTGATTTGCTAGATAGTCCAGAATTACTGGAAACAACCATTGATGATGTAATTGGGGCACCTGACACTCTGGAAATACCCCAAGTGCCAGATGAAGTTAACATAGTCACCAGACAAACTGGATTGGAAGGAACTAAAGACGAATGCGGGAGTAAGTAAATGTTCTGTGTGACATCAGGGACAACTTTTTATTTCATGTCTCTTTAAAATTAGCTATTTAAATCTGTTCTTTGAAGACTATTTTATGTAATAGTTGGATTTTAAAATTTAATGAAGAATATTTATGTTTTCTTTTTGGCTTGAGGGTCCATCGAAATAGTTAAGAGTACACAATTAGGACAATTAAACATTTGTGTCATTTATAAGTCATTAAGCATTTATGAATTTTCAAACTTGCTTTGTACTGTTTCTTGGATGAAAATTAAGAGAAAAAAGATTTCCTTAAGGATTTTCTATATAGCACAGGATTTAATAAATGTTTGGATATTCCTTTGGCTCCTAGAAAGTATTTTGTTATTAATGAGGAGTATTGTTGCCCGGACCTGCAAAAATACACAATCCAGGAAGAGTGCTGTTTTTCTTAATCTTTTAAAAGATTAAAAGGGCCTATTCCAAGAAACAGAAGTGGAAGGAAAACGTCCAAACTCATTTTATGAGGCCAGCATCACCTTGATCCCAAAACCAGGCAAGGATCCTATCAAAAAAGAGAATTACAGACCAATATCCTTGATGAGCACAGATGTGAAAATTCTCACCAAAATACTAGCCAATAGGATTCAACAGTACATTAAAAGGATTATTCACCAAGACCAAGTGGGATTTATTCCAGGGCTTCAAGGTGGTTCAACATCGGCAAATCAATGTGATACAATACATTAATAAAAGAAAGAACAAGAACCATATGATACTCTCAATAGATGCTAAAGAAGCATTTGACAAAGTACATCATCCCTTCCTGGTCAAAACTCTTCAAAGTGTAGGGATAGAGGGCACACACCTCAATATTATCAAAGCCATCTATGAAAAACCCACCACAAATAGCATTCTCAGTGGAGAAAAATTGAAAGCTTTTCTGCTAAGGTCAGGAACACGGCAGGGATGTCCACTGCTATTCAACATAGTACTAGAAGTCCTAGCCTCAGCAATCAGACAACAAAAAGAAATTAAAGGCCTCGAAATCGGCAAAGAAGTCAAACTATCACTCTTTGCAGATGATATGATACTATATGTGGAAAACCCAAAAGACTCCACTCCAAAACTGCTAGAATTTGTACAGGAATTCAGTAAAGTGTCAGGATATAAAATCAATGCACAGAAATCAGTTGCATTTCTTTATACCACCAACAAGACAGAAGAAAGGGAAATTAAAGAGTCAATCCCATTTACAGTTGCACCCAAAACCATAAGATACCTAGGAATAAACCTAACCAAAGAGGCAAAGAATCTATACTCAGAAAGCTATAAAGTACTCATGAAAGAAATTGAGGAAGACACAAAGAAATGGAAAAATGTTCCATGCTCCTGGATTGGAAGAACAAATATTGTGAAAATGTCTATGCTACCTAAAGCAATTTACACATTTAATGCAATCCCTATCAAAATCCCATCCATTTTTTTCAAATATTTGAAAAAATATCATATTTTTTCAAATAATCCTAAAATTTATATGGAACCAGAAAAGACCTCGAATGCCCAAGGAAAGCCAAAATTGGTGGCATCACAATTCCAGACTTCAAGCTCTATTACAAAGCTGTTATCATCAAGACAGTATGGTACTGGCACAAAAACAGACATATAGATCAATGGAACAGAATAGAGGGCCCAGAAATAGACCCTCAACTCTATGGTCAACTAATCTTAGACAAAGCAGGAAAGAATATCCAATGGAAAAACGGCAGCCTCTTCAACAAATGGTGTTGGGAAAATTGGACAGCCACATGCAGAAAAATGAAATTGGACTATTTCCTTACACCACACACGAAAATAGATTCAAAATGGATGAAGGACCTCAATGTGAGAAAGGAATCCATCAAACAGCCTCTTGGACCTCAGCCACAGCAAATTCTTCCTAGGAACATCGCCAAAGGCAAGGGAAGCAAGGGCAAAAATGAACTATTGGGATTTCATCAAGATTAAAAGCTTTTGCACAGCAAAGGAAACAGTTAACAAAACCAAAAGACAGCTGACAGAATGGGAGAAGATATTCGCAAATGACATATCAGATAAAGGGCTTAGTATCCAAAACCTATAAAGAGCTTAGCAAACTCAACACCCAAAGAACAAATAATCCAATCAAGAAATGGGCAGAAGACATGAACAGACATTTTTGCAAAGAAGACATCCAGATGGTCAACAGACACATGAAAAAGTGCTCCACATCACTCGGCATCAGGGAAATACAAATCAAAACCACAATGAGATACTGTCACCTCACACCAATCAGAATTGCTAAAATTAACAAGTCAGGAAATGACAGATGCTGGCAAGGATGCGGAGAAAGGGGAACCCTCCTACCCTGTTGGTGGGAATGCAAGCTGGTGCAACCACTCTGAAAAACAGCGTGGAGGTTCCTCAAAAAGTTGAAAATAGAGCTACCCTATGACCCAGCAATTGCACTACTGGGTATTTACCCTAAAGATACAAACGTAGTGATCCATCCAAAGGGGCATGTGCACCCGAATGTTTATAGCAGCAATGTCCACAATAGCCAAACTATGGAAAGAAGCTAGATGTCCATCAACAGATGAATGGATAAAGAAGGGTGGTATATATATACAATGGAATACTGTGCAGCCATCAAAAGAAATGAAATCTTGCCATTTGCGATGACGTGGATGGAACTAGAAGATATTATGCTTAGCGAAGTAAGTCATTCAGAGAAAGACAACTATCATATGATCTCCCTGATATGAGGAGGTGGTGATGCAACGTGGGGGGTTTGGGGGGTAGGAAAAGAATAAATGAAACAAGATGGGATTGGGAGGGAGACAAACCATAAGAGACTCTTAATCTCGCAGAACAAACTGAGGGTTGCTGGGGGTAGGGAGGGTCAGGAGAGGGTGGTGGGGTTATGGACATTGGCGGGGGGGGGGTGTGTGCTGTTGGTGAGTGCTATGAAGTGTGTAAACCTGGAGATTCACAGACCTGTACCCCTGGGGCTAAAAATACATTATATGTTTATTAAAAAATAAAAAAGTTAATAAGAAAAAAGATTGAAAGGGAACCGTAAATTGCATATTGAAAATTTCTATGTATTTGTGAATTTGGTTTGGTAATAAAGCATAAACTGCCTTTAAATAGGGGCTTTCTATTGAATCTCAGTATAATATGTGTTCATTTAAAAGCACCTCATATTTATGTGGCTATTGCCAATTTTGATTTTTTTTTAAAGATTTTATTTATTTATTTGACAGGCAGAGATCACAAGTAGGCAGAGGCAGGCAGAGAGAGAGAGAGAGAGAGGAGAAAGTAGGCTCCCTGTTGAGCAGAGAGCCCAAAGCGGGGCTCGATCCCAGGACCCTGGGATCATGACCTGAGCCGAAGGCAGAGGCTTTAATCCACTGAGCCACCCAGGCGCCCCGCCAATTTTGATTTCTATCACTAAAGTCAGACACCATCTTTAAACAACTTACAGGGAACTGCCAGTGAGTACGCTATTGTTTCTGAAGAGCATAGAGTATAGCAGTAGTATATAGTAATTTAGAAAGTGTTAATGAAAAGTTACTCTGTGCTTCAGGTTAATAGGACATGTTTAAGTACTACTGGTAATTGGCTTTAAAAATGTGTTCCTTTTTTCCTTAAGTAATCAATACAAATAGACAGTGAAGAAAATGTTCTTAGCCAGAAGCAGAACTAGGTTAATACAGAGTATTTCCAGGGTTAAAAATAAAATAATCTTTCTTATACAGGTGGCAATATTGATTTTATATATATTCCATTTTGATTCCATTATACAAATGCAAAAAACAATCTTTCCTCTCTTTCAGTGATGCCATAGCATAGTGTTGGCAAACTGCATTTATTTAGTGTATACTTTCCAGATAATTGTTTTGGTTTGGGAGAACATGGTAGAATGAACTTAGGAAGATGCCTAGGAAATAAAGGAGCAAGTAAGATGTAATAACTCTTTAAATAACTCTCTGATATATCAAAGAATTTATTTTATGATGCTTTATTGGTGAATCTTGGGTCAGCAACTTCAAAGAATAGGGAAGCAGATTTAGAATCAGTATAGAGGAGACTTAAAAATCTCTCTGCCATGTATTGGAAGTAGATACCTGATGGTAAGTGAGCACCTCATTACAGAAGGTACTCAAGCAGAGCTAAAATGATATAAAAGTTGTGGCAGAAGAAATTATTGTGTAGTGTGGAGGTTTCATTAATAAGATTTACTGAGATTTATAACATTTGTTCAAAGTCATTCAGTGAAAATGCTGTTAAGAATTAAGGTCTTAGAATCCTGGTGTCCAATTTATTTCGTATTTTCTTTTGGCTATAATGTCAAAATCCTGATTCACATGGGTAAGTAGTTATAAATGGTAACTTTAAAAAAAATAGCTTATCCTGTTATTTTAGGATTTTCCTCAGCCAAACAGAAGTAGCACAGGAAGCTTTGTTTCAACCAGAAAATGCCCCCAAACCCAATATTTTAGATTTTAAGTTTTGGGGTATTTATTGGCATAAGCTAAAGTATTTGTGGTCTCAACATCATCATGTTAAAATTTAGTATTGCATAATTTGAAGCATTAAGAAAACCAGGAAAAATAAACCAGGAGATATAAATTAAGAATGTAAATGGAGGCACCTGGATGGCTCAGTTTGTTAATTGTCTCTTGATTTCGACTCAGGTCCTGATCTCACTTGAGATTGAGCTCCACACTGGGTGTGAGCCTGCTTAACATTCTCTCTCTGCCCCTCCTTCCTCCTCTCTTAAAAAAAAGATATGTAAATGAGTAGGAAAGATTTTGTGAAGATCAGTGTTGAATTTGTGATTCTCAGTTTTGTACATTAAAATTACCTGGAAAGTTTTAAGAACTACCAGTAACAGAAAACTACCTCTGGAAATTCTGTTACCATGGTTCTAGGATCAGCTCTGGGAATCAGTATTCCTTAAAACGTCCCCATCTGATTGTAATGTGTAGCCAAGAGAGGGATCCACTGAGTTAATTAATGGACACTTTTATAAGATCTTTTTTATCTTATTTGATTTTAAAGAGGAACAAATGATTTCATAGCTTTACCCTCCCTTTTACTGGGTTAAATAGGAATTACTACACATTCAACAGCTTTTTTTGGTCAAGTAACAGTGTAAAAATTTAAACTCCTACTAAATCATCCCTGCGTGATAAGATTATTAGAGTGGTTAATTTTTTTTTTCCAAGATTTTATTTATTGAGTACCTGGGTGGCTCAGTTGGCTAAGCATCTGCCTTTGGCTCAGGTCATGATCCCAGGGTCCTGGGACCAAGTCCCACATTGGGCTCCCTGCTCCGTGGGGAGGCTGCCTATCCTTCTTGTTCCTTATTCCTCCCTCCACTTGTTCTCTGTCTCTCAAATAAATAAATCTTTCTAAAAAGATTTTATTTATTTATTTATTTAATTTAAAAATATTTTATTTATTTGAGAAAGAGAATAAGTAAGGGGAAGGGCAGATGGAGAGGGAGAAGCAGGCTCCCCCATGAACAGAGAGCCCAATGCAGGGCTTGATCCCAGAACCCCGGGATCATGATCTGACCCAAAGGCATACACTTAACCTACTGCGCCACCCAGGCGCCCCTAGAGTGGTTAATTATTTTTAAATAAAGTTCATTTAAAGCTGAATCATGTTTAATATATTATCTTGTCCTGCAAGCCTTTTGAAACATCTTTGAAACACCTTGTGTTTCAATACATACTCTGTTGAATCAGTGAATGAATAATGTATGTTCTTAATCTGTTTGCTCCACAGAAGTGTAGTTTTAGGCAGTGTATATAGTTAAGGTCAAGGAAAGAAAGTGGCAAAGTACTGAAGTTCGGCAGGAGGAGCTTGTATTGTGGTTATGGAAGGATGGTGTCACAGGTGTTCTCTGCCTTTTCTTGGTATCTTTTGGCTAGTAAACCTTCTTAATCAAACATGCTATTGAGGTTCCATAGCTAGTGGCTTTCTACACATGGTATAGATACAAGGCAGTATTCCTGTAATGTAGGTTAACTCTTAAATTAATAGTTATCTGGTTATAGAAAGAAAATATATTTATTTTCTACAGACTTACAGGTTATTCCATTTAATTGTTGGTAACTGGTATTGGAAAAACAAAACGTAAATATATGCCCTCACACAGCTGTGACAGCCTGGCAGACTAAGAGGCCATGTTGCCATTTTTTCCCCAGCATTAAAAGAGGATTCACAGAAGCTCAAACACCTTGAAGTGGAAAGCAGTCCATTGCCAACTTCTCGTCCCAACGTTGATGTCAACATCAACAACCAGGTATTCATTTCTCCTTCATATACCTGCACACATCTCCAGACCTCCTAGAAATCCCTGCTTTTTCCAAAGCTGATACTTTCTCTTTTCTTTTTCTGGGGAATGTGTGTGTGCTGACTTCTTTCAGACATATTTCAAAGGCACAATTCTTGGATGTTTGGGAGGAAAGGAGGAAATTCGGGCAGTGATAGGAACTGTGAGGTCATCTCCTGAGTGTTTTCCAATATGTATGTAAAGAGTTGTGGCTGCTTTAAACTTATTATTTTGATTTAGCCCATCCTTTTCCTAATTCTGTTCAGTAGGTATTGATGTAGTTGAAGGTGACAGCCTTTTAAAATTACAGAAGGATTTGAGACTTCCACTTGGGTGGCTCATTTGGTTGAGCGTCTGACTCTTGGTTTCAGCTCAGGTCATGATCTCAGAGTCGTGGGATCAAACCCTGCACTAAGTGGGGAGTCTGCTTGAGATTCTCTCCTCTGCCTCAGTCCCTTGCCTCTGCCCCCATACCCCGTGTGCACACTCTCTATCTCTCGCTCACTCAAATAAATAAAAATTGCAGAAGGATTTGTTTGAAAAGTAGCTGCTCTGTCATATTAGCAGGAAGAGAATGGAACTTAAGATGCTTCAGCTTTGTCCCTCATAACTTTCACCACCCTGTGCCCTTTGAATTTTAGGTGTGGGGTGGGGGGTGTATACCAATTTAATCAATTAAACTTCAGTTAATTGCTTGAGTGTAATTTAAAATTTTTGTTAAATATCTTATAGGAATAATTGAAGTAAATAGAATGAGATAAAAATAATTCATTGTATCTGCTACTAGATGTCCCTACTAAGTGGAAGAGTAAATTTTAGATAATGATCTAGAGACACCCTTTTTTCCCTATATATAGACAACAGATAACATGGATCTGTTGAATGAACTTTGTTTTGATTTTAAAGAGGAAAAGGGACCAGCTGGTTTGCAGTGTTGTTTCATCCTTGGATAACTAACTGGAATTTCTTCAGAGGCCAGTGTGATGTAAAGAGTGATTCTCTTCTTTCTTGCCATTTTTCAGGCTGTCCTTTTGAATAGAGTTTTTTTTTTTCTTTTTCTAATATGTTTTTGCTTAGAAATGTCTTTTAGAAGCTGATTAAATTTCAGACTTTGATTTTCTTTCTTTTTTTTTTTTTTTAAGATTTTAGTTATTTGTCAGAGAGAGTGAAATAGCACAAGCAGGGAAGTGGCAGACAGAGGGAGAAGCAGCTCCCTGTTGAGCAAGGAGCCTGGTGCAGAACTTGATCCCAGGACCCTGGGATCATGACCTGAGCCCAAGGCAGACACTTAGCCGACGAGCCACCCAGGCATCCCAAGACTTTCATTTTCATGACCCCTCAGTATTTTTCAATTGTATTTGTGTGTTTGGTTTCATATTCTCAGTTGTTTTACTATCTCTGTAAGTAGAGGAATACAGGGTCAGAGGCAAAAGAGTTAATTGAAAGCTTTAGATGAAAGTTTTAGATGGTTAGAAACTAATGAGGGAAAAATGTAATGGAGGACTGGAATGATCCTAAAGGAGAATGTGACTGGTGAATCTTGGTGGGCTTAGGGTGGAGGAAGAGGAGTGATTGTCTGTTACATTGGAAGGAAGTTCATGGAAATCCACTGAACAGTTATGTTTCTTTTGTAAAATTCCCTGCATGTCTCATTATAATATAACTGAGGCTCCAAAGCAGAGAACCTATTCAATTATTCTTGAAGCCTTGAAAAAAGAGGAGTGTGTAGGGTTCAGTGTAGGAAAGGGAGTGTAAGAGTGGCTTAGGTAAAGGACAGTGTGCCATCGAGAAACAGTCTGGGGTTCACATAGCTAGGAGAAATATTAGCTAATATTTAGTGAGAGCTTATTCAATGGCAGGCAGGAACAACAAGAAAGACCTCAGTGTTGTACTAAAAACTAGGAGACATCTGACACCTTACCGTATGTCTTTACAACTAGAGTGTTGTATAAAAGTTGATTCATATTTTATTTATGTGACACATTTTTAATCCAGTCTGATTTCTCTACCTCTACAATCAATAGTTCATGTTTGCTTGGGGAATACAAATTAATCTGAATAATCAGCTTTACTAACTAAAGTAATCTTAGTATGAAAAACCTGTAAATAAAATATATTGTTCTAAAGCAAAGTATCAGTTTTGGATGATCAGCTCTAAGAATTGTATTACTAAGAAGCTTTAAGCCATGTTAGGTTCAGACTAGCACTACTGGCAGTAAGAGTTGACTTCAAATTCATGTCTTGAGAACCCATTTTAGAGGGATCTCATGCCATGTGAGACCTGTGTTACCCTGGATTGATGCAGTCATTTGATTTCCAATACACTGTTGATTCAGCTCTACAAACGTGTTTGCTGTTTACTTTTTATAAGATAAACTAATGAGGGGCACCTGGGTGGTTCAGTCTCTCAGGCATCTGCCTTGGGCTCAGGTCATGATCTCAGGGTCCTGGGATTGAGCCCTTTATCGGGCTCCCTGCTCAGTGGGGAGTCTGCTTCTCCCTCTGCCCCTCATCCTGCTCCTGTTCTCTCTCTAATAAATAAATAAAATCTTAAAAAAAAACACCTTTGTGTATATTTAGTAACAATATAAGGTAAACTGTCTAATCTAAAGCAGAATTCTTAACTTGCAGATCATGGATCTATTCATGAATAATTATGAGAAGGGCCTTAAACTCTATGAGGAGGGCCTTAAACTCTGTGAAATTGAATACATATTCTTTGTTTTATTTTTTTTAAGATTTTATTTATTTATTTGACAGCACAAGTAAGTAGAACAGCAGGCAGAGTCAGAGCGGGAGGGAAAAGCAGACTCTCTCTCTGATGAGCAGGGAGCCCAATGCAGGGCTTTATCCCAGGACCCTGAGATTAAGACCAGAGCCGAAGACAGATAGTTAACTGACTGAGCCACCCAGGTGCCCCTTGAATACATAATACTTGTCATTGATTCATTTATATATTTTTTTCTGAAAAGTAGATCCTTATTTTATTAAATTCTCAAAAGGGTCCATGACTCAAAAAAAGAATGAACCATCACCAACCTTAAAACAGCTCATTGAATCTCTCCAAGGTACTAAAAAGAACTTTACTTTGGTTAAAAGTTTCATGTATATATTTTTTAATCCAATCATTTCAGTGTTGGATCTCTCAAAATTAGAACCTCTTATAAGAATGTACTATGTTTCTTGTAGATTTTACTGTTTACACTATTCACCTTGGTTGTTTGACTAAGTGCCCTTCTGATGGACGTTCACATTTCCCAGCCAAGATTGTTTTAAGAGTGGTTTCAGGTCTGCATCTGGTGGCATTCTGCCTGGAACGTCGGCAAACTTCAGATCAACTTTAACATCTCTCACCTAAGTTCTCTTGTAAGCTGACAGGGTCTGACAGCCAGGACTACTCTCCAGTAGAGTTGGAGTAGCCATAGTCATTTCAGTTCAGTCTCATTTGGGGTATTTAGGAATCAGGGTGTCCTTTTAATGCTTTTGGTCATCTGTTAGCCACATTTTGGCCATCCAAGGCAGTCATATCAGCAGCATAGTAACTGGCTGACACTGGAATTATGTGCTATAATAAAATAAAGTGAAAATATTTTAAAGCTATTAAACTCAACTTGTATTTCTGTAATTTTTTTATGTGCTCATACATCGTAATTGTAGAAAATAGATTTAAAGAAGTAGGAAATTTTAAATCTTCATTATTCACTACTAAGAGATAACTACAGTTAACATTTTTTTTAAAGATTTTATTTATTTATTTGACAGACAGAGACCACAAGTAGGCAGAGAGGCAGGCAGAGAGAGAAGAAGCAGGCTCCCTGCTGAGCAGAGAGGCCGATGCGGGGCTCAATCCCAGGACCCTGAGATCATGACCTGAGCCAAAGGCAGAGGCTTTAACCCACTGAGCCACCCAGGAACCCCTACAGTTAACATTTTTTAAGACAAATATTTCCAAGCATTTAAATGTGTATTTTTAAAAATAAAAATAGAGTGACACTGCATTGTTTTTTTGTTCATTTTTTTTTTAAAGATTTTACTTATTTGACAGAAAGGTCACAGAGAGAGAGGGAAGCAGGCTCCCTGCTGTGCAGACAGCCCGATGTGGGGCTCTATCCCAGGACCCTGAGATCATGACCTCAGCCGAAGGCAGAGGCTTAACCCACTGAGCTACCCAGGCGCCCTGACACTGCGTTTGAAAACGAATCAATTATAAATGTCTTTCTTTATTTTGAGGACATATTATAGACAGTAGTTAACTTGCATCATCACTGTGTTTACTCAGTTACCTGTTGGACGTTTAGATTATTGCTAATTTTCACTGTCATCATCAGTGCTGTGACAGACAGCCTTCTAAATAAATATCTGCCATCATCTGATTATTTTCCTGGGAAGGAAGTAGTAGGTTAAATTATAGGCAATTTTAAAGCCTTTATGCTTTTGCAAAAATTGAAAGATGGTAACAATTTATACTTTTACCTGTGATACGTGTGTTAATTACTTTTTTTAAAAACTTTTATTTATATATGACAGAGAGAGAGAGCGAGAGAGGGAACACAAGCATGGGGGAGTTGGATAGGGAGAAGCTGGCTCCCCACTGATCAGGGAGCCTGATAATGGGCCTCAATCCCGGGACCCTGAGATCATGACCTGAGCCAAAGGCAGAATGCTTTACAACTGAGCCACCCAGACGCCCCTGTGTGTTGAATTCTTGTTTATGTTTGGAATATAGACAGAAAAAGAAATCTCTGCTTACGTCAAGAGGCAGCTTGCTCTGAGAATCCTATAATGTCAAATATAAACAATTAACAAGTAATTTCAACTCCGAAACATAATTGACTCTGAAAAGAAAATGTCAAAGTATTTGAATTAGCCATGATTTTTCTTTATCGAGATATATTTGACAAATAAAATTGTAATATATTTAAGGAATACAACACGATGATTTGATATACATATACATTGTGAAATGATTTCTACAGTTGAATTAATATACCTGTTACCTCATATAGTTACCTTTTTGGTTTCTTTTGGTTTTTAGTGAGAATGCTTAAGATCTACTCTCTAAACAAATTTCAAGTATACGGAACAGATGATTAGCTATAGCCACCATGCTATATATTAGGTCCTCAGAATTTAATTCATGTTATAACTGGAAATTTGTACTTTTTTACTAGGCTTTACCTATTTCCCCACCCCCAAACGCCTGGCAACCACCATTCTACTTTCTGTTTCTGAGTTGGATTTTTTTTGTTTATTAATTTCCACATGTAAGTAATACCATGCAGTATTTGTCATTCTCTGACTTGTTTCACTTAGCGTAATGCCCTCCAGCTTCATCCATGTTGTTGTAAATGGCAGAGTTTCCTTCTTTTTTTAAATTGAAGTATAGTTGACATGCAATCTTATATTAGTTTCAAATGTATGGCGGTGATTCTATAATTACATGCATTATGAAATGCTCACCGTAAGTGTAGTTACTGTCACAGTACAAAGTCATTACAATATTTGACTTGCTCCCTATGCTAAGATTTCCTTGTTTTTAAAGGTAAATAATATTCCATATAAACATTTACACTCACCACATTTTTAATCCATCATCCTTCCATGGATGTTTATGTTGTTTCTGTATCTTGGATACTGCACATAATACTGTAGTGAACATGGGAGGGCAGAAGTCTCTTCAGAATTGTAATTTTGTTTCCTTTGAATATATGCCCAGAAGTGGGATTGCTGGATTATACCATATGAACTACCTATAACTGAAAAAGGACCTAGGGACTTCCTGCAATTAATAGGAATCATTCTCAAGACTAGGCAGTCACAGGCATTAGAGTTTAGTCCAAAGCAGTGGTTCTTAGACTTTTATGTGTATTAGAATCACAGAAGGAAGCTCCTTCAACATTCAGATCATTCAGATTTTAGGGTCCCACACAGAGGCAGATGTGTGGAAACCACACTGAAAAACACTGAATCAGAATAAGCACATTAATTAAATCTTTCAAATCTGAAAGAACAGCATAGTGTTTAATCCCATACATGGCAGCTAACCTGTTTTACAGAACAAAAGCCGTGTCTAAGACTAAGAAAATGTTTAGAGTGACTTTGTTGTTTAGACCAGCCTTAAGTATCAAGCACAGTTATAATAGTGATAAAGTGTTGTTGTTGCCACTCAAGTATCATTTGTAGTGCAGATAATTTAAAGTACTTTTTTTTTTAAGAAGGTTCCATGCCAAGCGCGGAGCCCAGTGTGGGGCTTAAACTCACCATCAGAAATGAGATCAAGAGCCATATGCTTAACCAAGTGAGCCATCCAGGAGCACTTAACCTTCTTAATTTGCTTCATTCCATATACTTCTTTTCATAATGGTTTATTTATAATGTTTTCGTTGTGACCTTTACTGACTGGACTTGGGCTTTGTTCTGTCATTTTCGTAGTCTATACCTGAGAGGGACTGTTTGTGGCTAAGTAACATAATTCTAAACAAAATCATCTACTGGTGATAGCTCCAGAATTGCAGTGATTAGCTTGTGTAGGGCCTAACCTAAAATCAGTTGAATTACAGCAAACAGCTCATGTTTTCCATGTACGATTTCATTCAAGCATTTGTCCTGAATGATGTAGTCAGTTATTCAGTTGCTTTAAAGACAGGAAATTGGGCTTTATGATTTCTAGAGACCCCTACCAATTCATATTTCATGTTTGTGATTACTGTGCCTTAGTTTGAAACTGCATGTGGGAGGTGACTATTCTTGGACTAGGACATGACTATTTAAGACACGTGATTTCCTGGTTGTCTGAATGTGAACTTTCATCAGCACCTTTCCTATTTCCATATAACTATAATCCATCAGAGTTGCTTACAGTATATTTTTAATATCTAGGAGGAGGTGGTGAAGTTGACTGAGAAATGTCTTAATAATGCCATTGAGAGCCCAGGATTGAATGCCAGAAGAGTTCCTCCTGACTTGAAGAGTAATATTTTGAAGGCTCAAGTAGAAGCAGTGCACAAGGTAGGCTGCCTTTATTTATTTATTGACATTGGGTCTATTTTCTTTTCTTTTTCTTTTTTTTTAATTATTTTTATTAACATATAATGTATTATTTGCCCCAGGGTATAGGTCTGTGAATCATCAGGCTGACACATTTCACAGCACTCACCGTAGCACATACCCTCCCCAATGTCCATAATGGTAAGCTGTCTTTAATGGGGATAGTCCTGATGAAGGGAAAAGAACAGCAGAGAGACCCAAAGACACGACCTAGCTAGTGCTTAGAGATAGAAAGTAGTACCCATACACATGCTCAAGATGGCAGAATGCCTTCCTGAGTCTCAGTACAAGCTAGATTAAGAGGGGACAGTCATGGGATAAAAAGTTGAAAGTAAAGACCCTCTAGGGCATAAGAAGTTCTTTTTTCTTTTTAAGTCAAATTCCTATAGAAGTGAGTCTCTAATCTTTGCCACTTTTATAGCCAGAAAATCTAATGACTTTGAGGTTCTTATCAACACTAAGTCTGTAGTTTTAGGTCTTTCTTTAGCAATCTGCTATTCCCTACCACTCATCTGCCCTCAGTTTGGCAGAGTTGTGTGTCACAAGAGTGACAGTTAACAGGTGAAGGAGTTGGCTGTGACATTGTGAAGGATGCAGTGGGGAAGGACCAGCCCCCATGAAGTTTATGGCATCCATCTTCTCCAAAGTCAGTTTTTCCTTGATGCTCCCTAACTTTCAGACTTACCCTCCATAGTAAAATCAGAACAGAATTCCTTCTAACTAAATCACATTCTCAACTAGAATTTCGAAATATCCTGTTGTTGAGAAGATGCACTTTATCCACTCTGTCCCCAGGCACAAGCCTTGAAGGGAACCTGAGATGATTTGCAGAATATTGTTCATGCTTTACTTATCTATCCTCTCCCCACGAGTATAAACCTAAGACATAATATTTGCCTGTAAAAGTAAATGTAAAATATGACAGTACAGGCTCTGGAATTAGACAACTTGAATTTGAATCCCATTTCTAGTCTATCACAAACTAGTGTTGTGAGTTGCAAGTTAGTTTCTCTGAGCCTCAGTTTAATTATGTTTAAGAAAGGATATTGGTAGTACCTACCTTAAGGTGGTTTACAAGAATAAGATAATATAATGTAAAGGACATGGAACATAAAGAGCATTTAATTAAGTGTTGAAATCCCCAATGTTGAAGCTGCATGTTGTATTAGCAGTAGTAATTGTTGTCACTGCCTTACATTTCATTTACACTTTTGGATTTTTCTTGACTTGAGCAAGAAAAAAATAACTTGAATGACCCTAAAATAAGGAGATTTCATTTTATAGTTAGAAAGCTTCCCATGAAGAAAAATCAAGGACCTGATGCCTTCATTGTTGAAATCTACTGAGCTTTTAAGGAAGAAATAAGAGTTCCACACTAACTCTTTCAGAAAATAGAAGAGGAGGGAGCACTTCCCACCTCATTTACTGATACTAATATTACCCTAGTACCAAAGCCAGAAAAAGATTTCATATGAAAAGAAACCATAGACCGATACCCCTCTTGTACATAGATTCAAAAATCCTTAACAAAATAGACCAAGTAGCATTTACCTCAGGAAAAAAGTTGATTTATCCTTCAAAAACCACTACAGTTCACCATATTAAAAAGTAAATTATCTCAATTCATATGGAAAAGGCATTTCACAGAAATCAGTACCCATTTGTGATAAATGCTCACAGCAAACTAGAAACAGAATGGAGCTTCTTAAGCCTAATAAAGGACATCAGTGAGCATCACACTTCATGCTGAAAAACACATTCATGGCCAGTATTAAGAACTGACCATGCCTGTGTTGGCAGTGATGGTGCTTCTGCAGTGCACATGGCTGGTAAGAGTATAAAATGTTATATAAGCACTTTAAGAAGAATTTGGTGATGTTCTAAACATATACTTCCCACATGACCACACAGGTCCACTCTGAGGTATTTACCCAAGAGAAATAAAAACATAGGTTCACACAGATGATAGTACACGAGTCTTCCTAGCAGCATTATTTGAAATAGATAAAAACTAGAAACAACCCAAGTGTCCATCAGCAGGTAAACATAAACAAATTGTGGTATCTCTTTTCATTGGAATGTTTCTCAGCACATAAAAAGTAATGAATTGGTGATACATGCAGCACCATGGGCGAATCTCAAAAACATCATGTCATTCTAAAGAAATAGACACTAAAAATGTAGGTATTATGATTCCATTTACATTAAACTATAAGACATAATGCTCACTGTTTGCCATGTGTAAGGGTTTTTGATGAGGTTGCATTGGCCAAAAGGGAATGTTGTGGGGGTAGTGAAAATGTTGCACATGGTGACTTTGGCGTTGGTTATGCACCTCTGTATTTTTCAGAATTCATCAAACCCTATATTAAAAATGTGTGCGTTTTACTGTATGTAAATGATACTGCAATAAAGTTAAAGGAAAAAAGTGACCCCTTCAGAAAAATATTTTAGAATTTCCTCTTAACATATTCGTTGTGTTCAGGAAAAAATAAAAAGCCAAATACACTGTTTAACATCTCTTTCTTCTTTTCATCATGTAAATTCCAAAAATTCTGGCATTGAATCTTTTGGGATTCTGTACATATTGACTAACACATCATGGTATCTTAAATTTAAGTGAGAGCTGTCTAGTACAGGGTGTGAATTTCTGTGCTGTTAAAGTGGAAGTGTGGATTATTAATTTGGGTGTGGGATGGGGCTGTAAGAGGTATAGTATGGATATTTCCATGGACAAGTTATGATTACCTCCAGAACTGAAGCAAAGTGATATTTTTGTTCTTACTGGAAAGAAGTATAAATTTCTTGTTACTTTAGTATCCTCAACAAATATTTAATTTTTTTATGATTTCATTTTCTTAGGTTACAAGAGAAGATAGCTTATTAAGTCATAAAAACACCAGTGTTCAGGATGCTTCCACAAACAGGTACAGTTCTGGGTTAGAATTAAATTGATGTTTTTCTCCTCTTCACTTTTCTTTTTTTGGTCTGTTTTCCTCTTCTCCAGTGTATCACCTCATAATTGCAGGCTATTTGAAAGATAGCTTGAATTCACTCTTCTGTCCATTACTTGGCTGCTTACTACCTAGTTTTAGATTATCTGGAGGTACTTCTAATTTGTCTCTCTGCATTCTCATTCTTTTACTGAATCAAACTGCAGAGCAAAAGCAATCTTTAAAGATAGTTTTAATCTTATACATGGTGTGGGATGTATATTATTTCTCTTAATTCTAGTGCCATCCTGTTATCGCAGTGGCCTTGTTCTTACAAACTTTCTTATTATGGGCCCTCACACTATTCAAGTAAATTTATTTGCTGTTCTCTCCAAGTCCCTTCTGCCTCTCTTTTCTTTAATGAGTATTAGGCCATTTATTTGCTTTGCTAGGCTTTTATCCCCTACTTTGTGCCATTTTGTTTTTGTTCATCACTGTGTATCCAGTGTTCTCTGCTTTGTCGGTGCTAAACATTGTTGAATGAATGAATGCTGTTCCTCTTCCCATTATTCAAAATGTATTCAGTGAGGAATTTCCTGATTAATCATACTCAGTTCCAGATACTATAACCAAAATAGCCCTTAAGCATATAGCATGCTTTGTGTATACAACTTTATAGTTAGTATTCAGCAAACAAGCTAATCGATGATTGGGGTAAAACTGGAATTAAAATGTAACGTTTTCTTTAATTTCAGTAAATCAGTTGGCCCACAATATTTTTATTAGAGCCTTTTAGAACTTCATAAAAAAAATTTTTTTTCTTTTTCTTTCTTTTTTTTTTTTTTGCCAATAAGAGGATAATGGGGTTAGAAGCCTGCCCAGTTCATCGACCTCTTAAAGCTGGAAAGAACCTAGAATGCACTCCAACTTATAGATTTGCTTTTCTAAATGGCTATTGATGTTTCCCCATAGGACTTGAAATGTGTTCGTTCGTTCTTTCGTTCTTTCTTTCTTTCTTTCTTTCTTTCTTTCTTTCTTAACAGAGAGAGAAATTACAAGTAGGCCGAGAGGCAGGCAGAGAGAGGGGAAGCAGGCTCCCTGCTAAGCAGAGAGCCTAATGCGGGGCTCAATCCGAGGACCCTGAGATCATGACCTGAGCTGAAGGCAGAGGCTTAACCCACTGAGCCACCCAGGCACCCCTGAAATATATTCTTTAAGTTCTTGTTTAAACTTGGGTCTGTTTCTGGAACTTTTACTTTTCTGTTAATCTTTTCTGTAGTCTGTTTTGTTCCTGTGCCATACAACACTTTTAAGAAATTACTGTACCCCCTTTTTTTAATTAATAAATTTTATTTATTTATTTGAGAGAGAACTAGAGAGAGCATAAGCAGGAGGAGCAGAGGGATAAGTAGGCTCCCTGCTGGGCAGGGAGCCCTTTTTGGGGCTCAATCCCAGGATCCTAGGATCGTGATCTGAGTTGAAGGCAGCTGCTTAACTGACTGAGCCATCCAGGTGCCCCTACTGTACCCCCTTTTAAAAAAGGAAATATTTCAGGCACAGAGGAAACTGCGGAGATTATATATTGGCTGTTTACCAAATATCAAGCTTTGTAATATCTTGCAAGCTTTGTAATACCACTCAATACTACATTTTGCTGTAGTTGATTTAGACCATCTTTATCTTTTTTATTGAGTTGTAATTCCCATACCATAATGTTTTCCCTTTATAACTATACAATTCAGTGCTTTTTAGTATACTGACAAGAGTTTAGTACCATTACTACTGTCTAATTCCATAATATCTGTATCCTCTAAAAGAAACATTACACCCATTGCAATCTCTCCACATACTAGATTTGTCTACTCTGGACAGTTCATATTAGTGGAATCACATAATATGTGGCCTTTCATATCTGACTACTTTCATTTAACATAATGTTTTCATGGTTGATCCATATTGTATCATGTATTTGTACTTCACTTCTCTTTAGGGCTGAATAATATTCCATTGTATTAGATATTCCACATTTTGTTTATCCTTATATGAATTGTGGACATTTCTCTTGTTCCCACTTTTTGACTGTTATGCTATGCTATGAACATTCACATGCAAGAATTTTTGTAGACATGATTTCAATTCTTTATATACCCAGGAGGGTGATTGCTGAGTTAATCACGTAGTAACTCTGTGTTTAACTTTTTGAGGAATTGCCAAACTGTCTTCCAAAACAGCTACACAGTTCCAGTTCCCACCAGCAATGTATGTGGGTACCAGTTTCTCCACATCCTTTCCAATGCTCATTATTCTCCATGTTTAAAATTACAGCCGTCCTAGAGAGTATGAAGCGTGTCTCATTGTGGTTTTGATTTTCATTTACCAAAATGAGATTGAGTTGATGAATGTTCAATGTCTTTTCTACTTTGGAGAAACATCTCTTCAGATCATTTATTTTTGTATTAACAGCTTTATTGGGTAAAATTTAAATACTGTGTGATTCACCCATTAGAAGTATGTAATTCAGTGTTTTTTTGTTTTGATGTATCTGAATTTTTAAAAAATCCATATTCCCTTCATTTTAACTACCATTTTAACTACATAAGTCAGTCACAGTTTATTCCTTCTTTTATTAATGGGCCGTGTTGTTCCAAATTAATGTTGTACATGTTCTTCCTTATACATGTTGTGAAGATTTTTTTAGGGTGTATACCTGAGAGTGAAATTGCTGGGTCATGACTGAGCAGAATGGCTGCAGAAGCTTTTCATCTCCTTCTTTCTGTTTTTTGCAGAAGTGTAAATTGTATGTGACTAATCTTTTCTTAAGGGTTGGGAGAATTTGTTGTAAGAAATATTTTACTCCTTTTATTGTTCACTTTTTCTTATATTGAGTCCTTTCCTCTGAGCTGTTGCTTCTTTCTGAAGCACAAAGTTATTTTTTCTCTTTGCATTTTACTGCTTATTCTTCAAGTTCTACATTTTCATTACTGTCTAAGAGTAGGTTTTTAAAAAAAAAAATTTTAGTATTCAAGGTGGCCTTTCAATCTGAAGACGTATACGGGTCTTTTTTCAGTTCCGGAAAATCATAAGCCATTATCTTTTTGAATGTCAAGTATCCATTAGTTGAAACATCATGATCATTTCTGTTTCTCATAACTATCCCTTCTTATTTTTCATCTCTTTGCCTCTTTTTGCCTCATTGTTATGGGTCCTAGCTTCCACCTCACTAATTATGTCTCACTTTTTCAATCTAGGATATATTTCTCATTTTTTCTTATTCTCCTTGTAGGCTTCAGGACCTGCTCCTAATTACACACTTTTCAGCAGTATTAGGAAGGACTGGGATTTCCTACTTGATGTGTTACCTTGGTGAATGATGGCCTTTTGGCTCTAGATTCCCCCTGTTTCCTCCCCGGTGTTGAAGCCATCTGTGAAAACTGCTCCTGTTCCTGTTATTCTTACCTGGGATTAGACACTGTTGTGATTCCTGCTGGCAGGCCTAGTAACCCATTCTCTGGCATATACCTCTCACCTGGCTAGTTCTGTTGTACTATCTGGACCACTCTAGGTGTTGCTTCTGCCTTCTACAGCAGAGTGTCCAGCCTGTGTCATTAGGTGGTGGCTTCATCCTATGATTTTCTGACTATTCTCCCATATCTCAGGTATTCTGGTTAGTTTTTAGTCCACTGAGCTTTCCCATTCATGTATTTGATGACAGCCTTTACAAATCATTCAATTTGATCTATCTTGTTTGTGTATCTTTCTTTTTAAAATAAATCTTTTCTGAACTTTCAGTGAGATTTAGTAGGGAAACAAAATAGTCTACCATTTTGATCCATCTGTGAATGAGCCTGGTGTGGATATGAAAACTGTTACATGGTGGATGGAGAAGGGTCTCACACATGAATGCAACACTAACTGCTGTCATGCTCCTCATAGATTGTCATTTCTTTTTCCTCTACATGAATTATTGCTCTTTCTGAAGTCCTTTCTTCGAACATGTTCCCTATGCCTGTACAGGTGCTCCATGTTATGAATTTATCTTTTTCTTCCAGTGCTGTATTAAATGAGAATAATGTGCCCTTCCCTGAAGATTCTCTTGCTCTGATGCATACCACACCTGCAGCAAATGGTTCTGTTCTTAAGGTAACGGACACTTGGCTTTGGAAGTTTCTGCGAAGACCATATTGAATTGAGTCCTGTGGTATAACCACAGATGTTGGTGATTTCTGACTGACACCAGAACTTAAGCTGTGAGAAAAGCATTGAGCTTCAGTTCTCTGGAGAGACTCCCATTGTCAAAATCTTTCACAAGAGTATCTCAGGGCTTCTTCAGTTTTTCTGTTAGTTGTTGGTCTTTTTGTTTTAGGTGATCTTTGTATTTTTCATTTTTTGATGCTGGCTATACCTCCCTAAGTGTCTCAAACACTAGATGGCATGTAGTAGGCACTAAATAAATAATGATTGCTTGAAACACCAGCACCCTATCATTGTGTTGCAGTATAACCAGCTCGTCATAGCCCCTGCTTTTCTGCCCCTTGTCATGCCCTTACCAGTCCAGAAATCATAGAAACCTAGTTCATTGCCCATTGAATGTTTTAATTTGCAAGTTAAATGAAAAATTACCCTTATAAATGAACGTTTACCATTTTGCTCTTTAACCACATAAGTGCATTAACTGTAGTAATTTGTCAAATATTTCTTAAAAAGAAGTTAGGAATCACCTGTATTCCTGCTATCCAAAGACTTATAATTGAGATTTAGGTGTATAATTTTTCAGACTTTTGGGTTTAAAAAAATCCAGCTTAAAATATCTTCAGTCAGGAGCTTCTTTTCTGCTAATTAAAATCCTAAAAAGATACATTGACATCTTTGATCATTGAAAATTAAGTGAAGTCTGAAATTGTTTTGGAACAGAGCAGGTCATTTAATTCAGAGATTTATTGCATATTATAATATGTATCAGATAGCATGCTAGTCTCAAAAATTCAAAGGCTAAACATGGACTCTTTTTTCAGAATGCTTACATTCCATTGAGAGAGTGAATTTTAATACATTATGGGAGAGATGTATACATGCTGTTTGGGGGCACGCAGGCCACAGGTGGGAGGTGGTGGCAGAAGAGGAGGGAGATGTGAGAAGGGAGAGACAATTTTTTTTTTTCAGAACAATTTTTTCCTACCTGCGATTAAAATTAAGTGGAATGTTGAGACATAAATAGGAGATTGACCACAGCCTGAAGACAGATAGATGGAAATAGGACTGTATAAATGAAGGGCCTTTTTTGTTATGTTTACTACACCCTAGATACTTACTTTTCTTATTTTCAGTTTGGAATTTTATCTTTTATTATCTTTAAATTCTTCCTACTGACCTACCTTCTCTCTCTCTGTTTCTTTTTCTGTAATACAGAGACCCATCTTCCGTTAGGTGCTTCAAATACTATTTAAAAAGTATTGATTAACATTTATGGGGGAAGTTCATATTGTACTCTTTTTCAAACAGTGAAGTACCGGTACCTCTGAATAAAGAGGTCTTCGGAATTTAGTCATCTTCTTTACTTACTGTCTCCTGTGCTGAAACTTTTCTCTCTCTCTTCCAGTCTAAGAGCTAAGAGGCAGAACAGTCCTTTTTTTAAAAAGATTTTATTTATTTATTTATTTGACAGAGAGAGAGGGAGAGAGAACACAAGCAAGGGGGAGCAGCAGTTGGAGGGAGAGGGAGAAGCAGGGCTTCCCACGGAGCAGGGAGCCTGATGTGGGGCTCCATCCCAGGACCTTGGGATCATGACCTGAGCTGAAGGCAGACACTTAACCAAAATTAAGTGAAGGCACCCCAAGCCAGAATAATCTTAATCCTACTTGAGTTTTGTCTCACCAAAAAGAGTAGCGCTATGAAAATTCCCATAACACTGTTTTTTTGTTTTTTAAGATTTTATTTATTTGAGAGAGAGAGGGCACAAGTTGGGCAGAGGTCCAGAGGCAGAGGGAGAAGCAGACTCCACTGAGCAGGGAGCTGAATGTGGGACTTGGTCCCAGGATCCTGAGATCATAACCAGAGCTGAAGGCAGACACTTAACTGACTGAGACACCCAGGTGCCCCCCATAACACTTTAGCTTTCTCAACTTCTGGTTTTGGTCTAGGTTCCCCTCCAAGCAAAGTGGAATCACTATAATAACCATGATTCCTGAGTATCCCTGTTTGTTTAAAGGTTAACACCAACAAGGGCTGGGTCAGAATTATAAGTTGAGAGGATATGGAAAAAATTTAGTTTGATGATTTGAGTCATTCAACAGCTATAAATATTTTATCATTCATAGGATGCCACAGATGAATTGGATGCCTTGCTTTTATCTCTAACTGAGAATCTAATGGACCACACAGTCCCACCTCAGGTAAATAGCTTTAAAACAGCAAGTTGGAAAGGAATTTCTGTTTTGAAAAATATTCCTGCTACATTCCAATTTTTGCCTTTTTAACCATTTAGTAAAACTGTTCATTTAAGGGGTCATATTTCAGTAATCACTTAGCCTTGCCTTTCTATTAAAATTTCACCAGTTTAAATTTATGTGTCACTGTATAGTAACCAAATGTTACTGTAAGCCTATTTGTAATCCAACACTCTATTAAGTAACGTAAGGAAGTATATGGGGATAAACATAAAGAATTTGAAACAATAAGGACATAGAGCATAAGAGTGGTTGGCACTGAAAGTATGGCTTGTTATTGCAGTATAGGAGACAGTGTGTGTTGGGTACTGTGACCAAATTATAATACAAATAAGAAACAATGCTTTCCCTCCAGAGACTTACTGTATAGTTGAGATGAAAGATGTACAAATTCAGTGTGTTATGAGTAATATGACAAGAATTGCTGTGGCAACTAGATGTCATTTTGAAGACTTGGAAGTACGGATGGTACTTTCTCTGGACCTGAATGTTTGCTTAGATCATTAGTTCTTTTTTTTTTTTTTTCTTTAAAGATTTTATTTATTTATTTGACAGACAGAGATCACAAGTAGGCAGAGAGGCAGGCAGAGAGAGAGAGGTGGAAGCAGGCTCTCCGCCGAGCAGAGAGTCCGATTCGGGGCTCGAACCCCGGACCCTGGGATCATGACCCGAGCTGAAGGCAGAGGCTTTAACCCACTGAGCCACCCAGGTGCCCCAGATCATTAATTCTTAAACTTGGGTGTGTATCAGAATCACCTGGAGAGTGTATTAAAACACAGATTGCCAGGCTCCACCTTAAGAGTTTGTGATTTGGTGGTGGTGGGGGGGGGGTGTTGGTAGTTAAGGCCTGAGAAGTTGCATTTCTAACATGTTCCTGGTAATGCAGATGTGGTCTGGGAACCACCTTTTGGTAACCAGTAGCTTAGATCAGTAAACAGAAACTTTACCAAAGGATAAGGATCATAAGTCTGGGAAAGTGAGCAGGCAGAAGACAAAAGGGATAGTGTCAGTGTTTAGCCATGATAATCCTTTATAAAGATAAAAGAAGTAACTTCAAAGATTAATGCAAGATGGCCTAAAGCTCAGAGGAGGACTTCCTGGGGCCTAACTCAGAACCTTATTCCATGTGCACTCTATTGTAAGTGGATATGGTGATGAAAATCATTGATTAAACAACTTTTTAATTTTTTTTTATTTTTTTTAAAGATTTTATTTATTTGACAGAGATCACAAGTAGGCAGAGAGGCAGGTGGGGGCGGGGGGGTTGGGGGGGGTGGGAAGCAGGCTCCCTGCTGAGAGAGCCGGATGTGGGACTTGATCCCAGGACTCTGGGATCATGACCTGAGCCGAGGGCAGAGGCTTTAAACCACTGAGCCACCCAGGCGCCCCTAAACAACTTTTTTATATCACTGATACGGTTTCCCTTTCCTGCAAATTTAGAATGCTGCTTTTGTTTTAAATCAAAATCTAGAATATCACATATTTTAGATTCTGCATATTGACTCTCCGTTCTGTTACACTTAACAGATTTCTCTGTTATTAGAAATATAACACTCTACTAATAACTTTAGCTTTTTTATTGATTTTGATACAGAGTAAGGCCTGCCAAGCATTATTATGTAGCTGTTTTTTAATTTTTGCTTGTTAATTCTTTCAGAAGATTTTTAGAATAACTTTTTCTGGTCCCACCCCTCCAAAAATCCTTTGGATTTTTATTTGTAAATGCATTAAATGCATAAGTTTATTTGGGGAAAGAATTGATATATTTATAATAATTTGTGTTCTTAGCTAAGACTACAATATTTTTCTCATTCAAGACTTCTGTTTCTATTCTTAAACTTTGTCATTATAACCCCCCCAATATAAGTTCTATACTTTATTATTCTCATTATTTCTAGGTCCTTCCCAATTAGTCAGGAGCAATATGAGTGTTTCTATATGCATGAATGATAATTAGAGAATGACCTGTATATAAACAGATTTTTTTCCTATGTACTTTCTTTGTGCTATTCATTTGGATTAGTCCCAATCCATTGTTCAGGATGCTACCAAGAAGGCTATGGTTATTTGTAATGAACTGAAATGTCAGAACATAAAATGTTAAACTGGGTGCTGGGTTTGGGGGGTGGGGGAAGTCCTATTAATATGGAACTGAAAGTAGTAGTAGCTTTCTTGGAGTAGAACATTTTTAAATTAAAGAGATTCTTAAAATTATAACAGTTTCTTAAGTGGTGAGTATGACGTCTGTGTTGTAGAAGAGGATCTTGGATTCAAAGTGCATGTCAGCTCAGGGGGAGCCATTAAGAACTGTCTCCCTCTACAGTGCATTCCGGAGAAGAAAACATTGTGAGCATGATTATGAAAACAAGTCTTCCCTAAAAGTAAACACATATGTAAAATTTATTTTAGGTATCTTCAACATCCATGATCACACCACGGTGGATTGTACCAGTAAGTTAATGATATTTGCAGTTTTTATTTTGGTCACCCTTTCAGAGTAAGGCCTCAAGGATTACCAGAATCTTGTTTTTCCTTAAAAAATGTGGGTTCATTCCCAGAGTTCTGTTTACTGAACTTAATGGCTTCAAACTAGTGATTTAGTGTTTCTGTTTGTAAAGGCTTAATGCTGCTGATGAAAACAAAAATAAAAATCTAAGGTGGAGTATGTTAAAAAACAAACCAAAACAGCCCATGACCATCAAAATCCTCTTACTTATTACCATAATCATTAGGGAAGGTAGCTTGGAGCTGAACTGCTGATGCCCGAGCCAGTGTTGTCACCTCTGCTCAGGTGTGTCTGTCTCCCTCAGCAGAGCGGTGTCCTTTCCAATGGACTGGCAGGAAGTGGACCATCCTTGGCAGGGAAGGAGGGACATGGTAACAGAGAAGTGATCTCGCTGATTTCTCCCCCAGCACCATTCTTGGTGGATGCTGTGACCAGGTGAGGAAATTATTTCTCCATTGCAGTTCTTAGGCATCTGTTAGGAGGAAAAAATAATAAAATTAATATATTTATAGCAGTAATGTCAGTTGTTCTTTAACCGAACTTAATTGAAACTGGATAAATTTTTTCCCTATTTAGAATAGTGTTTTTTCTGTTTTCTTGTCTATAACAATTTTCTACAAAATCATGAGGTAACCCTTATATATTTTTATGAAGTCTTCATAAATGTCAACATATTAACAGGCTTATCTTTAAAAATTTATATTAAAATTCATTTATGTCTCTTCCTTTCATTTTTTACTATTACGTTGTCCATCTGTAAGGTGAAGAGTTATAGATAAGAGTGAGGTCGGAGATTCCCAAGATGAGGGCTCTGAGATACCTTTTACCAATAGCTGTTACAAGTTCATTTCAACATATTGCTTGCCTCAAACAGAAGCTAGACTCAAAAAAACCTTTTGTCTGGCGTGTAGTTCTTCAACTCTTCATTGTTAGAACCCAAACTGTATATATTTTGCAAAAGATGCACAGCTGCCTTCATTCTCACCTCAAACTTCCTGGTGATGTCTGTTTCTCACATCCTCCTGGTGTTGAGAGTGTAGGTCAGTCGAAGTAGATGCTTTCCTAATTAAAGAAGAAATGTCCTCATTAATTGGAAAAATTATTTGAGCTGATTAACTTGAGAGGAATTGATAGTTTCATTTTAAAGTTGTTCTCTTATCTCCACAGTCTTCAAAGTAATATAATCACTCACTCAGCAAACACTTATTGAATGTCTGTTATGTACCAGGCATTGATGTTATCTGGTTTGGCAGCACTGAAGATAGCAGTGAACAAAACAGGCATGGGATTTGCCCTAGGGAACTCACATATAGTTGTCAAATAGCACTGTGTACAGTTTTAATAGGTTATTTTTCTAACTATTTATATGCCTAGTAATTGCCACTGTAAAAATAGAGATTATGTGCAGAGAACCAGGTGATAATGCTTTGTAATTGAGTTTACACAACAAAATATGAGTTCTTAGGACTTTTAAATTAAAAATTACAGATGAAAGAAGAGATTGTCGACATTTCTTCCCAGAACAAAATAGTCATAGAGGAATTAAAGAGATCAAAAAGGACAGGTAGAAGTAGTGCACCTAAAACTAATATAATGTTAAATGTCAATCATACTTAAAAAAAAAAAGATAAATGAATCAGTGGAATAGAATAGGGTCTAGAAACAAACTCACCCATAAACAATTACCTGATTTGTGAAAAAGGGATGGTGTGGTGCTGTGGGGAAAGGATGGCTTTTTAGTAAATCAGCCGGACAAATTAAATACCCATGTGGGAAAAGATGAATTTTGACCCAACCTCAGACCATACACAAAAATCCATTCTAGATGGATTGCAGATCTAAATGTAAAACATCAGATAATAAAGCTTTTAGAAGAAAATATAAGCAAACATTCTGAAGATCAGGAAATATTTTTTAAACAGGTCAAAAGCTTAAATAATGGGAAAAAAATCAATAACTTGGATTATATCAAGAACTTCTGTTCATTAAAAGAAATGATTTCAAGATCTCAAAAAGGGAAGCCAGAGAGAGAGAGAAAATACTTGCACTTCCTCCCTCCTCCCCATTGATCTCCATCTATCTTTCTTTGACAAAGAAAAGAATCTTTTATATGTCTAGAATATATAAATCTCTTATAAATCAATAATGAAAAAACAGATAAATAGAAAAATTGGCAAGACTTGAAAAGGCAATTCAGAAGGGGATATCCAGGTGGTCAATTAGCATACATGACAGTGTACAACTTGACTAGTCATTGAGGAATACAAATTCAAACCACCATGAAATGACCACTGTCTATTACCAGAATTGCTGAAGTGAAAAAGACACCTAGTATCAAGTGTTGGTGAAGGTATGGGGCAACTGGAACTTTTTAAATTGGAATAACCATGTTGGAAATAGGTTTGGCAGTATCTACTAAAGCTGAACATAACCAGTGACTCAGTGATTCTATTATATACATACCCAGTAGAAATATAAATAAATGTCTATCAGAGGACATGTAGAAGAATATTTATAGCAGCTGTATTCATAATAGCCCAAGCTGAAAACTTTCCAAAACCCCATTAATAGTCAACTACATAAATAGCAATATAGATAATTGTGTAAACATAATTATGTTTATTAGTTTGTTGTGTAGCAAATTGCCACATATTTAGCATCTTAAACATTTATAATCTCATTTTCTGTGGGTCTAAAGTCTAGACACAGCTTTGTGGAGTCCTCTGCAACTACTACAAGCCCATTAGTTAATGAGTTTCTCCGTATGTACAGTTTCCAAATGGCAGTCCAGTGCTTCACTTTTAAATATGAACAGGTGCTTTCCTCATACGTGTGAAGAGAGCCAAAGATTTCCAGAAGTGTGAGGAAAACCTGAAACCAGTAAGCTGAAAAAGAAGCAGGGAGGACAGAAGGGAACATGAGCATCAGAAACTTCACAAATATAGTTTCATGAGAGAGGAGATGCTGTATCCATGCAACACTAACAGGAAATGAAAAAGGAAGGAAACAATCCGCGGTGTTCTTAGAAATTATTAACCATGTTAAGAGTAAAATCCAAAGAATGTGTGGAAGATAAGGTTGAGGAAATCTCCCAAAAAAGTAGAAGAATAAGATGAAAACTGGGACAGAAGAGAAAATTGGGAGGATTGGTCCAGGCAGCCCAGTATATATGAATCATTGAAGATCCAGAAAGAAGAACAGAGTAAATAAGATTGTCAGAGGAATTGAGATTTCTCACAAGTACTTTTGTTTTGTTTTGTTTAAGCTTTTATTTATTTGAGAGACAGAGCATGAGCTGGGGGAGAGGGAAAAGCAGACTCCCCGCTGAGCAGGGAGCCTAATATGGGCCTGATCCCAGGATCCTGACATCATGACCTGAGCCAAGGCAAACAGTTAAACGACTGAGCTACCCAGGCATGGAAAAGTACTTGAGTTTTTAGATTGAGTGGGTCTGAGTACCCAGCACAAAGAATGAAAATAGACAACGCCAAAGACCATCATGAAATTTCAGAATATCAGAGTTAAGAAAGGATATGTAAGTCTTCAGAGAGGGAGGTAAAAAAGATTACATGAAGGGATTGGTAATCAGAATGAACGCATACTTCCCTGAAAGCAGGAAGTTAATGGAGCAATGCCTTCAGAATTCTGGAGGAAAATTATTTTTTACCTAGATGTTTATGTCTAGACTATCAGGTAAGTGTGAGATTAGAATGAGTAGACCTGGAGTTTCTCTAAAATACATATTTCCCATGCGGTCTTACTCAGGCATTTACCTACTGGAGGATGTGTTTTATCAAAACAAGGTGATTATCCAAGGAGGAAGACACCAGACCCAGGAAACAGGTATAGGAACTGACCAGGAGGAAGGTAGAAGAAAGTTATGAGGCAGCAGCTGCCCCACCGGTCTAGGAACAATTCTGTACAGATTTGAAGAGGGGGTACAGAGTTCCAAGAAGGATATTGCCAAGAAAAAAACACAAACACGTGGCCTACCCCAGTTTTTGAAAAATTAAATGACATGTCTGAATGTACTATGGTGAGATCCATGGTTCTAGCTGCAAGCTTAAGGACAAATTAGAAATAAGTACAGAAAATGGAACAAACAGTGAAAAAAGGAAACAGTTCTTCAATCCAGGAAGAGCAAATTATATAAGAAAAATTATAATATGCTTATAGCAGTTGTGAAAATATTTGCATAATTACAACAAACACTGAATATTAACATCATGAAAATTGTTCATTTAACTGTCTTGAAAAGGTAGGAAGGAAGGATTAGGGAGCTGGTGAATGGGCTCTAAGAATGGTAAGTTTTAGTCCATGGCAGGAAGTCACTGTAGAAATAGGCCACCTGGACTTTTGCTAGTTGTACATCAGAATCACCTGGAGGCTTGTTAAAACACAGCTTAGGGGCTCCTGGGTGGTGCAGTTGGTTGAGGATCCAGCTCTTGGTTTCAGCTCAGGTTGTGATCTCAGAATTATGAGCTTGAGCCCAGTGTTGGGCTCCACACTCATCACTCAGTGGCTGAGTCTTCTTGAGATTCTTTGTCCCTCTCCCTCTGCCTCTCTCACTCATGCACTGTGCGTGCGCTTTCTAAAATAAATAAATCTTTAAAACAAACACAGCTTCCTGTGTCCCATCCTCAGAGCCTACTATTCAGTGGTGCCTAAGAATTTGCATTTATAACAAATCCCAGAGACAACACTTGAAGAAACAAAGATACAGAAAAGTGAAAGAAAATGCCGGAAAAGAAAAACAAAAAAACTATTGAAAGTATTTGTCTCTATGCAGTAGAAATGGAGAGGGCTATTACACGACTGCTGTTTCAACTATCAAGCTTGTTCGTAGTTTTGACATGTTAAATTCTGTCCTTTTTACTACATATTTTGATATTAAGTTTTAATGAAACCAAGATAGATGATGTTACATCCTTGCCTCAGTTCATGCTCTGCAGCTATGTCAGAGACTCTTGGGTGTTCATGCAAAGCCCACATCCTTTTATTTTTCACAGAACTCTGACAAAGCAGATTAACTTGGTGGGAACTCAGCCACAGCCATCTGGGACTATCTGTGTAAAGCACAAAACAGTGTTCCCACTGACCTTGGTATATCTTGAGCAGATTTGCTGTCATGCTCACCACAGTACTGTTTTTGCCATTCATAATAATAACCCTGACTCATTAAGAAATGATTGTTTGGTATGTTTTATTCAAGGCAGTAGGGGAAATTGATACCTTCTAGATTTCATTTCAAGATGAAATAAGTACCATTTATCTAGAATATTCCCTTTTGTAAATATCTCATTGCTAAATTAGGTGTTGCATAGTCATTTAGGTCTGTAATTTACTCTCAACGTGCTCCTCTTAGCACTGGTGAAGAAATGCACATTGCTCCCACCCCAGTGGTTTCACTGAATAATAATCCTTTCTTCCTTTCAGCTCTCTTCCAACGTTGGCAGAAGAAACAGTCTTGAAGCAGAAGTGTTTACTGACAACTGAGCTCTGAGGGACTGGCTCCTTCTCACCTGTAACTGGAATATTCAGTGCTCTGCAGCTGTCCGTCCTTGAATCCATTTCTCTTGGAATATTCAAATTCAGGAGCTTGTCCTTACTTGTGAGTAAAAAAGCTCACCCAGATTTGATTTCAACTCAATGAAAAACATTTTCCGTCCAGCTGGAAGGGTTTAATTACACTACATATTTGCCCGAATGAGGGTATCTGGTCTTTACTTTCTATAATTGTATTTAAGTTGTATATTTTGAAACAAGGGCATTCTTTTCCCTGTTGTTTCTTCGAACTCTTGGCTCCATCTAGTGGTTATAATTGTTCATAACCCCTCCGTAACCAGGCTGTCTGGTAGTCAGTAATAGCCTTTTGAATGTTATTTCTCTCTCTAGTATCAGGTTGAGTATCCTTGATCTGAATGCCTGTTATCGAAGTTCCCCTAATCCATGCAGTACTGGAAATCAGGAGTTTAGGAAATTAATGAGGACACCTTGTAGGTAGTTTGAGGCCTAAGTGTTTATAATTACTACAGTACTAGGAGAAGTTTAGAATACAGAAGGTTTTCAGGTGTCTCCTATACTTTTGGCTTCTTACTGGCTATCTTAATACTCCTAAGTTTACGTTAAGGTAAGCTAAACCTTGAGAAGAATACAGAGAAATCAATTGTGCATATTTTGCATCCTGGTTTTTTTTGGTTTTGTTGTTGTTTTTGTTTTTTTTTTTAAAGCCTTGCTTCCCCACAGGAAGCCCTCACATGCACCACACACATACTCTCTAACTTTTCAGCTGGATGAAGATAACAGTCACTTCTCCACACTGGCACTGATTTGAATATAGGCTTCATTTCCTTTTAATATGAGCTGAATCAATTTAGAACTCCTAAACTAAACTAAACAAAACAAAACCAAAATACCAAGACAGAAATAGGCAATTGGGAGTTGAGGGGGTTTTGTTTCTTGAACATCTATGTCTGAAACTGTACTTAGCATACTGTAAGAACTGGTATCTCACCTTACATTAGGAATTTTGTGTTAATTTTAAAAGGTCTCTAATTCCTAATCACTTCTGGTATAAAAAAAAATCTGTATGTAAAAGTAGCACATGTGCATATAGAAAATGAAGAAGAGTATAAAAATAACCTCTTGCAATCCTGACTTCCAGAAGAACACTTATTTTAGCTTTAAAAATTCAGAATGCAGGAGGTAAACTGCAGTTGCTGTTGGAAATGAAGATGAGGTAGAAACCATATTGGTATCATTGTTGTTAATCCCTGTGATCAAGGACTGGTATCAAACTATACCTCCTCGAATTTGATGTTTAGTTTTCTGCCCTGTATTATGTATATAACTGGATATTAATTTATGTTGCTTTTAGCACAAGAGAACATGCAGTTGTGTGATATTTAAAACTCCATGGTTTGGACTGTCCTGTGTTCCCTGTAGCATAGTCTTGTGCTAGGCAAACACACACTAGTGTCTGACTGGAAAGCTCAGGAATTTTAATCTTGTGCTGTTTCCCAGGGAGCTATAGAGTTTGGAAACCACTTTTGCACAGAACAACTTTGCTGAAGGAAAGAAAGTTGGCACTTCTTGCTGGCTGCTTCCCCTTAGCCATTGTGCTGAGCTTGTGAATTTCATTGGTGGAACTCTTGCCAATTCTTAATTGTAAAACAAATTTTCTCGCAGCTGTAAGTGATACCTAGAACCAAGGACTTGAGCAGGGGCCTGACCCAAAACAAGCGGGACTAGACATCTAAATTTCCAGAGTGCTGACAATTCTAGATGTACTGGAAGGTTAAAGATGTGCATCTAACCACAGAGCAGCTAAGGTATTACTAACTTGGAAGGCCTAAACTTCCCGTCCAGTTTAGAAAGTAGCACCATCCTTATTTTAAACTTTTTACAATTTAAGAATAAGTTGCTGAATATATTCTATAACCTTTGTGTCTTTGGGTACCTATATTCTTGCCAGTTGGCATATTGAAAAGGACTTTCTTAAAATTTACTTTAATCTCAGGCTAAAAGGAGGAAATTTTGTCTTTTGTCCTGACACAAACTGGTGAACATGGAAATTAATATTTTAATGATGAATTAGCCCTGGCAGTTTAGATACCTGTCATGTATAACTTCCCTGTCATGACTGCTGCTGGTGCCTTCCCCAGAGCTGCTGTCACACTGATCTTGTTCTTGCTCATCTGAGAGTGGAGGTGAGAGAATGGCAAGGCTCAGGATATCTGGTGAATGTGTCTGAGAGGGATGGGAAAAGTCTGTCCCTGTGATGAGAGAGAAGTTGATATATGTGCGTCAGTAAAGAATGTGAGCAGAGTGAGATTTGAGATAATAGTGCATAAGAAGGCAGGTCGGTTACATCGAAGTGGGAGGAGGGACAGCTCTGGTGGCATGACCCGCTGTTGACCTTCAGAGCAAAGTCCTCCCCTATGAAGACTAAAACCCACCTGCACATCCGAGAATCATCTGATTAACTAAAGTTCTGATCCTCGGATGAGATGAAAGAACCTTACTGGCTATTGAAAATGACAGCTAGTTGGACAGGAAGTTTTTCTCTAGAATGAGGTTCCCATGCACCTTAGTAAGTATAGCTAAAAAGAAATATTGGCAACATTTAATTAAGAAGTAATGAGAACTCATTTGAAAAGAGAGCAAGAACAATAGTTGATTTGAGGGCTCCAGCTAGAAAGCTGTTAGCATTCTTCCGTTTGAAGGTAGTTTGAAGGTGATTTATAGCTGAGATAACAGACCCAGATTGGCAACAAATAACAGAAGGCTTTTAGCCACAGGCTCAGCTGCTCTGTGGTTACTTTCTTCCCAGATTTTCCAGTACCAGATTTGACTGTGGTAACTCATTAGGATCAGTGATGATGGAACTTGTGACTGGGAGCAGATTTGAGGCTGGTGCTGAGAGAGTGGCAGGGCTTCTTTTATTGTCTTGCCAGGCCTCGTGGGTCTGTGGGGCTTGCAAGGACTGGGTTGGTGCTGCTGCCCCTGTGTCATGGCTCCCCATGCGCTCTACCCCAGGAACACTTAGTACAGTGCCATGTGGTCGGCATCTGCTGCAGGCCTTGGGGGCGTGGAAAGGAGAGGAACCTCAAATCAGGCCGTTTGATAGCCTCGGTAGGGGAAGGAAGAATTGGCAGGATGGTTTAAAATTAGAATGGTAGGTTTCAGCTTTTTGCCCTTGACTCTTCTTTTGAACTTGTGAAATGATAAATGAGATCCTACTTCTTACGGTTGTTGGTAGTATCACCTTCGTATACTCTGGAGGGGCTCATTGTTCTTCCATGCCTGCCCTTTGAGAAACACTGCGGAACAAAGGAATAACTAGGTTCCTTTGGTCTTGATAAATTTAGACATACCATTAACAGCTTTCCTAAAATGTTTATATTGTTTTAAGAAAAACTCTGTTTAAAAATATTCCTACTGTTTATCTTCACCTTTATCTGTTTTTGCACAATCACAGATGCACTGTGGGCAGTTAAGGGTGAAAGCCCTGGGTTGTTGCTTGCATCTTGACTGCTTGTTCTCTTATGCTTCCCAATTCTGGCTAAAACCGGCACCCCTGTCTTCCTTGCAAAACTCCAGAATGAAAGCTCAGGGGTCACTTCAGAGACTCTGTTAGAGCAGAATTATTTGGCATCACTTACACTGAGAAAAATCTTCCATCTTTTTCCGTAAGTAAGGGTCTTGAGAAGCAAAGTTCTTGTCTTCTCACTTAGAGCAGGGATGAGCAAAGTTTTTCTGTGCAGAGCAGAGACTGTTAGTACTTCATGGCTCAGCTGCACTGCCGAAGCACACGAGTGGACAGAATAGTACGCGCATGGGCTGGCTGTGCTCCACTCAGGGTGCATTTACAAAGCCAGGTGCCAGCTCCCAAGTCCACACTTGGTGGCGTGGCAGCGTGGCTCCCTGGGAGGCAGGTGAGTACTCACATAGGTTCTGCAACAGCAGTTGTCACGTGGAGGCGCCTGACATTTCTAGACGTTGCCATCCTCATTTGCACACTAACAAGGTGCAGTCCTGGGTCTCCCAGCTCTTGAGAGTCTTTGGGAGGCCTCACCAATTTCTAATCAGTCTTGGCCTCAGCCTTTCAGTTGCTTTGAAGCCTGGAATCTTCTGCAGACTGAAGAATGTACATTTCTTTATTATTTGTCCCTATTTCCTCTCAAAAATGTAAACACCCTGGTTTTTCAATGATCAGAAGAACCTTGGAACCTTTTCCTATCTATCAGCCTTCAGTGAGACGAGGAAGTTTGTTTGGATTATAGAAATTTGTCCTGAGCCGAACTCTGTGTGCTGTGTTAGCATATTGGTAGAGCTGTAATTATTTCTAGTTCTAAGGTAGGATACGTGAGTCTCTTCTTCATGCTGCTTGAGACAATAATTCAGTCACTTCCCAGAATTTCTTTTTATCAAGGAGGTGTTTTAGTACAGACCCCTTGCTCTTATTTTTGTGAGTATATTTTCTTTTCTGGATATGATAGTTGAAAGGACCTCACTAACTATTTTGTTTACTTTTCATATGTGTGAAGCTTTGCAGTAGCTTTTAAAGTGTAATTTATTTTTATATCAAGTGCACTATTTTTTGTGTTCCACAGTTTTATATGACTTATATTAGAAGCACTGCACTGAACTGATTGTCTGTATACTGACATGAGAACTGTAGATGCAACCACAAATAAAGCTTTTGTGAAACATTTATGTTCTTATGAACTGTCTTCAGTTTCTTGGAAGTGTAATACCTGGGTCAGAGCTGCTATTAATAAGAACACAAGAGACCAAATGGAAGCCATGATCAGAAGCAGCACCAGTTTTCAGTGTCCGTTTTGGTATGTGTGGTACAAATTTGGGAGTAGAGGCATTTTCAAAGTTTAAAAAACCTCATTGGTCATTCCCAGCATATCCTAGAAGGCACAGTGGTTGTTCCCAGGAGCAGCGTGGCACAGCAGAAACACAGCTCTACTACTCAGTACCAGGAGACCTTGAATAAATTGCTTAACAAACCTGCACTTCAGTTTCTTTGTCTGGGAAGGGATGGTATATTGTCTGTGGTGCAGTGTCTGGTAGAGAGTAGTAGCTGTCCTCCATCATACCATCCCTGTGAAGAACATTGCTTCTGGACAGAGTCATACACAGCACAGGAGGTCAGCAAGGTTTCTGAGAACAGCCTCTTTCCTGTTCCCCTCCCCCCTCCCACCTGGAAAACAGATGGCAATGGGCCTTGAAAACCAAAGAGCTTTTCTTCAGCTCTAATGCATGTACAGGGTGAGGCAGGAACCTGGGCTCTGTCAGCTATGCTGGAAGTTCTCCTCAAAGAGATTTAGCATTAAGCAACCAGAGCACTCTAACTTGAGCACAGTGACTCACTGGAAAGATATGGGAGCTCTCTGAATAGAGAGGATGGGTGAAGGGTGGACTTTTTCTCTGGCACCGGTAGGAATGGTCTGGCTGCTCCCTGCTGCTCACACTGACTGTTATTTTGAGTTGGAGAGGGCAGGACACTTGAGAAGGCTGTGGGTTCCCAAAGGGAGGGGAATGGTGAATGGGCTACCAAGACAATCACAGACTTCGGAGAAGATACTGTATATCACAGTTGTTAAAATCTGAAGAAAAAGAACAGAAAATCCAGGAAAGTGGACTATAGTTGGGTAATTGCTCTTTAAGCCTTGGGGGATAGGGCTT